ATTTTGTCAAGTTGCATTGTATGCATGTATGGAGATATCACAATGTAATGCCCTGTACAACTAATATATGTAGTAAAAAAATGGGAAAAAAGATGGGCCATGGGATGCATATTTTTGAATAAGACTGGAAGTATTTCATGCATGCATGCATGTAAGATTTTGTGTGATCTTCCTCCTTGGCCAGTCTTTCAGCTAACTAACTCGAAATCCAACCATGTTGAACAACATGGGTTCTATTGCCCTTAGGAAACAAGTCCAGAACAGTAAGGCAAAGAGTGGCTCATGAGTATCCCCAGTAACCTCCTGCCCTCCCCAGTGCAGGGTCTGGCATGTGTGAGGTCCCCCTGACACAAATGTAGAACCAATCAAGTATGTAGCAAACATGAAATACAATGCTTCTAACAGAAAGGGCAGAACATAAAATTTTATGTCAATGGTGACCTCACCTATGGAGGGAAGTGAGATGAGCTGGAAGCGCTCAACATTGCAAATTGTTGCCAAATCGTTTTGGTTGGTCATGGGACTTGAACTCTAGGCTTGGGCGCTGTCCCTGCGCTCTTCAGCTCAAGGCGAGCACTCTACCGCTTGAGCCACAGTGCCACTTCCGGTTTTCTAGTGGTTATTGGAGAAAAGAGTCTCACGGACTTTCCTACCCGGGCTGGCTTTGAACCGTGATCCTCAGATCTCAGCTTCTTGAGTAGCTAGGATTACAGGCGTGAACTGCCAGCGCCCAGCTATAGTACTCTTCTATTTAAAACAAATATTTTTTTTAAAAAAACATTGGCACATTATTTGACAGACTCAGAAAGATACCAATCAAGAAAAGAAGAAATGCCTTTGTTTGTCTTGACTCTCCAAACAAAAATGAATGGGCATTTCTCTTTTCCACATTCTCTTAACACTCAGGCTTCTTTCAGCCCTTCACTATCTCAAGCAAGATCTAAAGTCCTGGATTTCAACCTGTGCTAAGACTTACTTGTGCTTCCAGATCATCAAGATACTTGATTTCAAAATCTGAAGTTATCCAGCTTGTCATTTCACATCGACTTGTTAAAAAAAAAAATCTCAAAAATACAATTTGCATTCCCAAGAGATTCCCCAATGCCATCTAATTAAATCATTCAATCAGAAAACAAATTAAAATGAAATATCACTGCAATCCCCAAGAGGAAAACAAACTTTCAGCGATGACTAGAACAGATCTCTAGGGTGATGCTCCAAAGCCTCTTCTAATTGCAAGTCCTATTGAATGCCCTGCCGAGCATTCTGTGACATTTGCAGCTTCCGGGACAGCTTTCCTTCCAAATGGTTGGGGGGGGGGGGGGGGGGGAAACAATGGAGCCTGAGCAACACTCTAAAGCAAAACAGATCCTTTGGAGAATGGCAACACTTTCATTATAGCTAATTGGTGCGCTGGGCATTAGCCCCGTTGCTCATTCATTCATCCACTATCCATCTGGTATCTATTCTCTGTATAGACACACCAGGATCTGTCCTGAGTGGTCACAAGCATTAGGTAAGTGAATGTGGCCTCTGCCTTCCTCATGGAACCAGACAACATCCAGAGCAGTTGGAGTTTATCAATGGACAATATCTCCAAACAGAAAGGGTACTGAGGTCACCCCTCTGCTATCCTCCGAGGCCTTACCCTCACCATCTCAATGATACTCCTCCCCTGTGACCAGCTAGCCTTCTTGGGAGACAGTATCATATGTGACTAGGAACAGTCTCTAATACAGGAAGTCTGGCAGATGCTAATCTAATCTTCAGAATGGAGACTCAAACCAAACCTCTTTTCTTTATACAGTAAAAGAAGTAATAATAATAATTGGGTGTGGTAGTGCATGCCCATAATCCCAGAACTCAGAAGGCAGACAGAGGCAGGAGGCCATACCAGGATACACAGTAAGCCTTGTCTCTCTCTCTCTCTTTCACACACACACACACAGACACACACACACACACACACACACTCTCAAGCTGAATTCCAGGACAAGTCAAATATCCCCTCCAAGCCTTGGTTACCAAATCTGTAAGATGGAGCAAGTATCACCTGGCACATAAGATTGTGAGGAGTAACTCAGTCAGTATACGCATAGCTCTTAGAATAGGACTTGGCACATAGTAGGTGCTGTGTGACTTTCTGCTCATTATCCCATAGTCAGCAGTCAACTCAGAAGAACTAAATGGATTTTCTAAAGGCACTACTAACTAGCAAACACTTGACTGTTACTTCTGACAATGTAGTGACAATGGATGCACAAGACTTGGCCCATGTTGTCAAGTTCTGGAGTCACATCTTATCATCCTTTCCCATCCTTTCCTCTGCCCTCACCTGAGATCTAAACCATGTGGGAACCCTGGAGGGAGCTATCAGTCATTGCTATACCATCACTACACAACCAGCCAACAACCCTTGTCTTCCGTCTGCCTCCTATCTAGTCTTTTCTAAGCCCTTATTCCACCCTCCCCTGCCCCTCCCCTCCACACACACACACACACACACACACACACACACACACACACACACACACACATATACTGTGTGTCATAGCTTTTGTCTTTTTATCCTGAACTTCAATTCTTTCTGATATTCAATCTGTGCAATTCCATTGCATGTATGTGAGAGAACTGGACCAACACATGCTTTAAGGATACTGTTATCTTTTTTACCCATCTCCCCCAATTCTGTCAGGTATACTTGAGAGTACTGAATAGCACGTACGGTTTCATGGGAGAAAAATTCAAAAAGGTTCTTTTCTTCTACAACATTGTGCTGGTTTTCACACAGAGCCTTATAAACCCTTTGACCTGGTCCACATTCAACATGATAGGGATGGCTCTGTGCTGAGCTCACAGGCTCCTGATGTCCCCTCAGGGCCTCCACAAACACAGCCCTGCTCACCTCCTCCCTAACCATATAGAAAAGCACAAGGAAGGGGTTGGGAAGTTGGCTCAGTGGAAGAGTGCTTGCCTTGCATCCATGAGGCCCTGGGTTCGATTCCTCAGTACCACATAAGCAGAAAAAAGACAGAAGTGGCGCTGTGGCTCAAGTGGTAGGGCACTAGCCTTGAGCTGAGGGACAGCGCCCAGGTCCAGAGTTCAGCCCCCACAACCGACAAAATATAAATAAATAATAAATAAATAAAAATAATAAATAACAAAAAGAGAAAAAGAAAAGCACAAGGGAATCCCACAGACACACAAATAAGTGAATGAAAAACCTCTCAAAATCAGTGGGCAAACTGAAAATGCCCATGCCACACAGGACCCTGTGTCTTCCAGTGAACACTGGGAAAAGCCAAGAGGGGTCTGTGTACTTCTGGTGCTGATGAATTGTCAACCCAGGTCCAAGGGGGTGGTAAATGACAAGAAATAGCAGCAACAGGCACTCACTGAGAGACCATGTGACATGCCAAACCCCATACCTGATTGACAAGCAGGAGCAGGTTTGAGGCAAAAGCTGCCAGGATCCTACTTCTGGGCAAAGTATTAACGCCATGGCTTGTGTTTAACTCATTGATCAGGAAGTACAATGGGTAGAGACGCCAATACTCACTCTCCTGAACCTGGCCAGGCCTTCCAGGGAAGGAACTACTCTGGCTGCAGGAGGAAGCAGGCCAGATGCGGACAGAGTGGGTCCCTTCTGTGGCAAGGACAGCAAGTGTGAGGACTGAAATCCAGACACCCCCAAGTAAACAAAAAAAAGCACCTGCTGGCAGTCTTTGCTGGGGTGAGTGTTGCCTGTCTTACCGGTGAACTAGGCTTAGCCCTGAGCCTAAGAGAAGATCACGTGCCCAGTAGATAGTAAGGGGGTCTGGAGACGATGGAGGAGAAGGGAGGAGTGTGTGTGTGTGTGTGTGTGTGTGTGTGTGTGTCTGTGTGTGTCTGTGTCTGTGTGTCTGTGTCTGTGTCTGTGTGTCTGTGTGTCAGTGTGTACCCAGCTCCAGTGCCCATAACTCCCTTCCTTCCTCTGACACCTCACACCTCCTCTTACCCTGTAGCCTCATGAAAGCGCCCCAAATCCCAATCCTTCTAGGGAGCTCTTGTTGGCCCGGAGACACCCACCCCAGAGCAGCACTGAACTCCAGGCCCAACCCCTTGGATCCCTCTGCTCCTCCCAGACCATTCCCTGGCTTTGGGAGTGGAGCTACTAGAGGGATCGGGGTTCACCCGTTCCGGGTCCCACCCGCGCGGCTCCCCTGGCGGGTTCTCTGGTCCTGGGCGGAGGCGCCACCGCAGTGGACCGCCTAGCTCCAGCGCCTCCTCCCGGGTTTGACACCTGCTCCTAGGAGGGCCTGGATGAGTAGAACGTGGTGATGAGGATACCTACCAATTTACACACCCCGCCTCAGCAAATTGCCCCCTGGCTTTGCACCGCCCCCCCCCAAACGTACACAGTTCAAGCCCAGCCAGGCTGGAGGGCTGGGGCTGGAGCGATACAATCTTCCTAGCCGGGCTGGTCCCGCAGCTTGCAGGTCCTAAGCGCCAACGGCTAGGGTCGCGCGGGCAGCCCTCTCGTCGCTCGCTCATCGTGGGCACAGGAGCCCTTTCAGCCTCGCTTTTTCTCTTGTATACACACAAACATCTTATACGCACGCATACCCATTCCAAGCTGGACTCAGGTGCGATTCCGAGCGCCCGCGCGAGCAAGCAGCCCCCGGAGTTGCACACGCACATTGGGACACGTGCGCAGCGCGCCCCCATAGCGACAGCGAGCAGCACAGCCCGGCGTGCGTGCAGCCCCACGCACACACGTGTGCCCCGGGGAAGCGCGCAGGGCCGCAGGCACGGAGGGTCCCGCACACAGACTAGAGGGGACCCCAGAGCTCCCCGCCAACCACCACCCAACCACCGCGGCGGCGGCGGCGGCGGCGGAGCCGGGCTGTCTGGTGTGGAGCTGCGGGAGCGCTGCGCACTAGCCCCAGCGCACCCCGCGCAGAGCTGCTGGGCACTCCCGACCCCAGGTGGGCGGCCCGAGTTTCCCGGAGCGCCCGTACCTTGGATGTGCTGCTTGATGACATTCTCCAGGTGGTCCAAACGCTCAATAATCTTCAGAGTGTCCCCTTTGTCTTCCTCCAGCTTCTTGTCGGGCGCCGGCTCCTGCCCCCGCACATACACGCTGGCGATGTAGTTGGTGACCCAGCCCACGTAGAGCAAGCATATGATGTTGGTCATGCCGCTCAGGATCACGCAAGTGGACACCAAAGTTTTGGTCTTCCTGGTGCACACCATTCTGGGCTCTCTTCTCCATATAGAGCTCCGGGGCCCCCCTCCTCGTTGTGCGCCCCGGACTCACCGGCGCTCACACACACACACGCACACACACACACTTTCTCTGTCTTACACACACACACACACACACACACACACCCTTTGCACGCCTGGGCCGCTGGGTACCCCAGCGCCCGAGTCCAGAGCTTCTCCAAAGCCGGGTCTATTGGCTATGGAGCCGCCGTGCCCAAGTTTGCAGCTCCGCCGCTGGCCACCCGGACCGCGAACACTTGACAAAGAAAATGAGGTGGATTTTCTTTCTTTTTTTTTTTTTCTTTTCCAATTAAAAAAAAAATCCCTAAGGGCTTCCCAGAACGGTCACGGGTGGCCGGGAGGCGTGCGCCCCGATACGCACGTCTGGGAAACTTTGCCACTGCCTGGATCGCCGGCCGCGCCGCTTCCCATCACCAGGCGCCGGCTGCCTGGGCGATCCGACCCGCCCGCGCTGCCAGGAGGACGGCGGCAGCGGCGGCGGGTAGAGCCGCGGAGCAGCGCGGCCCGGCCCCCTACGAGAGACAAGCGCCGCCACCAATCGCGCTCCGGCTCCGGAGAGGGGCCGGTGCTGGGCGGCCGCCGACCAACGAGGACAGCGCGTGGGGGCGGAGACCGGTCCCGCAGCCCCACCTGCCCGCCGCCCTAGCTCCCGCCTCCAGGGACGCGCCTGAGCCTCCACCCGCGCCCGCACAGGCTGCCCCAGACCCGGCTCCCAGCGGCGACAGCGCGCCGCCAGGCCGGGCCTCTAGGGGAAGTCCGTCTCTTGCTCTGGTCCAGGAAGCTGGTTTCCTGGAGGTTGCGCGGCTGGCCCATCTCCCCCGCCCCCCCCCCACCCCCCCACACCTGCTCTAGCCACAGGCATCTCACTCTGACCCCACCCCCCAGAAGACCAACTCCACCCTTTTACCATTGCCAGCCAGTAGAGAGACCAACACCTATGTGTCCAGGCCTTCCTTGGCCTCACATTGGTTTCTTCTCTGCCCTCTGCCTTCTTTTTTGCTGGCCTCGCTGTCACCAGATTTGGCAAATGTCAGAGGAGCCAAGCCTCCTGGGAATCTCTTCCAAGCAGCATTGGTGACTTAATAGACGTATGGGATCGTCTATCTGGTCATCTCTCTGTCCCCACCCTCCAAGGTTTTGCCTATCTAGTTCCCAGAGCAAGCCATCTTCTGCCGTGTTCTCGGTTGTCTCTCACGTGGACCAGGTTCATTCCAAGTGCACAGGGACACAGCACAGGAACGAACTGCGCGGTCCCTACACGTGTTGTTTGTCCCGCGTAATGGGGGTAATGGGCTGTGTTGAAGAGGGCAGTGACAGACAGCACAGGGCTGCGCTTCTTACTGCAGCAAGTGAGTCTCCATGTCTCCCTTCAACGCAACCACTTCCCAGCGTCTGAACAGAATTATTTAAACAAAGACTTTAAAACACAGATTTCCTGACTCTCATCTCCAAATTGCATTTTTTTTTTACCTGATGGGAAAGCGGCCTGCGGGTATATTCCCTTAGGCGCTGACACTCCAACCAGTGATAATCAGGGGTTCCCTCAAGTGAAGTCTTCCAGGATTTAGCAGAGAGAGAGAGGAGGAAAAGAGGGAAGGGAGAGGGAGGAGGGAGGAAGGTACACACACACACACACACACACACACACACACACACACAGAGGGGAGGGAAAAAGTCAAATAAGGGACCATTTTTGGCCTGTTCATCCAAGGATCCCTTCACCAGGGCTTTGCTGACAAAAACTCCCAAGTAGAAGCAACAAAGGAAGATTTCACCCCTAGCTGGAGAAGCAGTGGAACTTGGAGGAAGAGGATATTATGCATGCGTGTGACACACTCAGGAGGAGAGAAAACATGTACAATTAAAAATATATATATATTGAAAGTAGAAAACCGTGCTGCCTACCTCAAGGGGAGAAAACTTGTCTCTCCTTTATCCTCCTGTGAGCATAATTCAGAACCCAAGGGAAGGGTTTGGGCTTTCTCCAGGATGCACTGGCTTCCAGCAATGCCCTGAGCACTGCTGAGGTAAAGGTGTAACCCTGCATAGTCCTTTGGCTCTTTCTAGAAGGAACCCTGTGAGTTCAGCTCCTTCCAAGATCTTCCTAAACCACAGCAAAATTAGACAGAGACAGGACTTTCTTTTCCACGTTGTTATTGGGAAAGAAACCAATCTCCAAGTTAAAACAGAAAAGATTCAAGCATGTGTGACCCTCAATTTTGTACCAGCTGATCCTCTAAGATAATGTGTGACTATAGAGGACCTGAATGCAACAAAACACCAAAGAGAAAGCAAACCAGGCTCTCCTCTCTGAAACAGTCGCAGGGGTGTGCTGACCAGGGCAAAGACTATTCACTGGACATACAACCAGCCAGCTCCACCATTATGAGTTATGGGAGACTGGGACAGAATTTCTACCATATATCAAGTATAAGTAACACCTTGCTAAAGAACCGATTGGTGAGGATCAAATGAACGACTGACTACACTAGAAAGGGCTTAGGGCAGGACACATAGTAGGGACTTAGGATGCTTAGTACAGTCCTGGAATATGGTTCTTCCCTTTCTAGGTCTAAGCATAACTTCTTAAATTGCACACTGTGGTTTAACAAGACTTGGTTTCCCTGCTGAACAGTATCAGTTCTCTCCCGGATGGGAAGCACAGGAACTAAAAGAAGCAAGAGACTTGTCTCAGCTCTGCTTTCTGGGTTCCGGCACATTTGGCCTTCTATGCATAATGTCTGTCTTCCCCTCCAGATGCAATGGTGTGCCTGGGTTGATAAGAGTTTTTAAATGGAAGATTGGTTTCCCCCAGGTAATGGTTGCTCCAAGTGTTTCAATTTTCCATGCAAGACCCCTCCCCCAAACCCTTGGTTATAAATAAGGAAAGTGGGAGGGGTACAAAGACTCCATCCAGAAAGCTTTTTCAGAGCACTTGGTTAGAAAGGAGTTAGTCTGGGGGAGGGAAGGGATAGTAGGAAAAAACAAAAAACAAAGGAGGGGGTAACAATGCTTGACAAGAAATGTACTCATTGCCTTACTTATGTAACTGTAACCCCTTTGTACAGCATCTTTACAATAAAATAAAAGTTTTAAAAAAGAAAGGAGTTAGTCTTTGCACAAGCTCTCTTATAATCAATCTTGCGTCTTTCCTATCTTTAGTTCAACTGCATTCAGTCTAACAAGTATTTATCGAGCTTCTGAGGTTTGGTGTGAATAATCAGTTGCCCTGGACACTACCCAGTTTACTAGAGACCTGTAGATATAATCTGTGTTTTACAGTCTCAATATGGCCTCTTTTCCTGAACTACTCACAATTATTCGTGGACTATGAGGATGTACCTGACTCTCTAGCAAGGTCATTGATCTAACCTGAGTGTTTCCTCACCTTTCCTTTAAATACAACTTGCTGTTTAACAGCACATAGTCTGCCTACTGAATGATATCAGTTCTCTCCCCTAGCAGAAGCTATGGGAACTAAAGCTTCATGCATCCAGCAAAGGACTGCCTAGTGTTACCAGAAGTGAAATTAATCAAAAAGAAGCAAAGACTAATATAAAATAGCTCTTTAAACTTATTCTGAGAATTGGAGTCTAGAGTCTCCTTCTACTCCTCCCACAAGAGGAAATGATACCTTAGATAATGCACAAAAGGGCTGAAGTTTCTTAAAAGGGCTGCCCAATAGAGCCTTTGGATTTTGCATACCTTTTATGTTGAGGAGGCTGCTGTTCTGCTGTGATTTGAGGGCCAGCTAAGTAGGACTTCTTACCTGGATGTACCACCACACGTCTTCCTTCAAAATGACATTGGAGTTGGAAAAATCCGAGCATTAATGGAGTGCAACCACCAATCCATTACCTTCTGAGTGGGTACTATGACAGAGCGTTAGAAGGGAACAGTGAACCATTAGAGCTGGAGTCAACTCCCCAGAGAGGGTTGTCAGTGCCCATCAGTCTCCACCAGATGGCAGCATGGTGCAAAGCCTTGGGACTAGAGACGCTCATTAGGACTTGGAGGGGCTAATGGGGCCTTGGAGGGGAAGTTGGGAGGTAGGGGGTAGGAATCTAGGTCCTGATCTTGGATAGTCTCAATCCATGGACTGACCGCATGGGAAGTAGGCATCAGGTTCCTAAGGGGACAGGGATTGTTGAGCTTCCAAAGGGTGGATGCTGGGTTCAGAAAGGAGAGTTATTGGGAAGCCCAATATTGGATTCCGCCAAGCTACTGGTCTGAAGTGTCAGAAAAGGCATATTTCTGCAAGAGAAGTGGAGAATGGAGAAAGAAATGTTTTGTTTTATGTCTGCTTTGGCCAGGGCTGGTGTTTTCATGTGTTAATATTAAGCACAGACTTCAATCTGGGTTTATACACTAGGTCATTTATAACCTATAAAATCTTGGGCAAATTAGATAACTGCTCTGTGCCTCAGTTTCTTCAACTGTTAAGGTGGGGATAACAGCAATAATATCCATCTCACGGGATTTCATGGGTATCAGATGAATTAAGGTATATAAAGTATTTATCTCTGAGCAACTTAGCATCCAATAGGTAAATAAGAGAAGACCAGCTACCCAGTGGCAGACTTCTTCTAACTACTAGCTAAAGATTTAAGCCTCGTTACCCCTCTTTCTTTCACCTTATGCAAGTATCCAAAGTAATTTCAGATTCCTGCAAATAGCTCTGTTTAACCCATCTCTGGTCACTTAGGTATCCACCACACATTTTCTAAGAGTCTGTCCTGTGCTAGACTTATTGCTGTGTACCAGTGATCCATAGATAACTTACAGACTGTATTTCTTTTCTGCCTCCATTTAATAAAGGAAGGCGACAAATAAACAACTATAATGTGGTAGGGAAACGCACTTACCTGATATAGTAAGATGAAAGAGAAAGGTACAAGTAGTTTGTGGATACACCAAATTGTATCCTAACAAGTTCTCAACAGCTCCATTGCCATTTAAATTGGACAGCTCTGCTGGAGGAAATATTTGCAAGATGATTAAAAAGCCAAGAGTTGATGCCCAGAGTATATAAAGAATTAATATAAAACCAATAAAGTATAGGTGAAGAAAGGAGGCCAAGAAAAGATGAAGACAACTTAAAGAGTGACTTCTCAAAAGAGAAATAAGAATGTCCAAAAGACATATAAAGAAGTGTTCAACATCTCTGGCCATAAAAGAAATGCATATCAAAGCAACATTGAGATTCCACTTCATGCCAGTTAGAATGGCCATTATCAAGAAAACTAACAATAACAGATAGGGGCAGGGGATGTGGCCAAAAGGGAATGCTACTACACTGTTGGTGGGAATGTAAACTTGTCCAACCACTCTGGAAAGCCTTATGGAGGTTTCTCAAAAGACTCTATATAGAGCTCCCATATGACCCAGTAATCGCACTTCTTGGTATCTATCCAATTGACCACAAACCATGTTACACTAAAGCACCAGCATGACCATTTTCATTGTAGCATTGT